AAATCTAAAAGTTGCACACGTGGGGACACGCCCAAATTGATAGAAAATCGCTAAAATCACTGAAAATTGCTGTTTTCGTCATTTTCTGTCAACTTTAGAGTGCCGTTGTGATTACAATTCTTCTTGAAATATTTTGAAACTTTGCATGCTTATCAAGCTATATATAAAACAATTACATGCAAAAATTTACGGCGATTCAATATTGGATGCGCACGCAACGTCCGCTCAAAGTTTGCACGCGCGAAAGGTGAGAATTTGCTCATTCGTGATTTCCAACAAATTCTGCTTTGCCACGACAGTTTAATGTCATTATATATGAATTTAATACCAACTTGAATGAGTATTAAGTGGCATATTCAGTCAGTGATCGACCGATATGCTTACCTAAACACAAGGAAATGTTTTTAAAGGAAAAATTTCGAAATCGTTGAAACTTCCTCCTTATTAATGAAGATATCAGTTTATATTTCGACTTTATAAAGTACCCTGACATTATAATCAAAAATAGATGATATTTGACCAAAACCCATAATCATGGGTAGAGTGGACCGCTGCCAGTGTCTCTCTTTCCCAAACAAAAGGAAATGATATTAATTTGATTGACCGTTCTCAAATGCAAAATGATACCGAGAATGAAATCGGTCGCTCGCTTTTCCCATTCATTTACAATTGTAATAGACTAAGAAAAACTACCCAAAGGCAGCTGTACTCGGCAATAAAGATTCAATAAACTTCAGCAGTAGTAACTACCACCCTTACCCCGAAATACTAGGTATCGACCTGAACGCAACCCAAAGAGATTTTTACAGCATCTGATTGATGTAATCAATCGAAACTTATTACAATTCGAAAGCCGTGAATGAATGGAAAAAGCGAGCGACCGATTTCATTCTCGGTATCATTTTGCATTTGAGAACGGTCAATCAAATTAATATCATTTCCTTTTGTTTGGGAAAGAGAGACACTGGCAGCGGTCCACTCTACCCATGATTATGGGTTTTGGTCAAATATTCTATAGATAAAATATGTCTAATTAAAAGTGCGGGGTGTTTGCGGTGTTTGAGCGGTTGTAGTGAATATAAAGGCTCGGCTCATGTGATTTTCTGAATTTATAGTAGGGGTTGGTGACTGGTAAGTATAAAGGAGACAAAATAGCTATAAGATGGTCTTAGAGATTTGTCTCACTGATCTTGCTTGAGCAGTAGCAACCTTTAAATCTCCGATGGCCATGTATGTTGTATGTTGTGTTTTGATTCAAAGTGTAATGTTTTAGATTGAGACGATGTATTGAAGTATTGACGGGTAATGAAATGTTAAATCGGTCAATAATAATGGAACAGTTGTTCTCAAATGAGGGGATAAACTTTTAGAAAACATGTTCACTAATGACAATAACTCAGTGTGTTAACCTCATTTAGGCCGCACGTAACCGAACTACCACAGGACTGAGGACAATGTTTTATTAAGTCAACAAGTAATTCAGTCGTACTCAGATGGTGTGTTGAACACTTAACTGTTGAAACATGGTTGACCTCATTAAACTGAAGAACCATAATTTATAAGCTGATTGTTCTTTAATCACAGCAAAAACGAAATCTTGCTGTAAATTACTGGGCGGCGCTCAGCCTGTCATTCCGCCGAATCTTTATTTATGTTAATGAACATGATAGCCTGAGGTCCCCAGGTAAGCTGTAAATTTTAAAAATCAACATTGAAGTCACCAGTACCACTTGTTCATGTTAAATACGATTATCGTGTGACCGCAGCTTTATATTACGGTTACCTAGCTTGTTTATACTTATAGAGTTATAATCTATTGCTCGCTTCTCTCACGTATGCGAGAAGCTCGAAAAAAGCGAAGGCCGCGCTCTGGGACTGGCGTGCCAGGTAACCGCAGCTTAGTATAGCACTATAGCGCGATAAGGGGTTAATGTTATCCTCAATTTCACCTCGCTAAACTAGCAGTAACTTCATGTCAATAAATACTGATTATCGTTGACTATCCATGAATAAACGTTTGAGTTAGACAGAATACATTTGGATAGCTACTTCAAAGAAGAAAATCCGCCATTATTTTTACCCGCCATTATTTTTACCCATGACCATTATTTTTACCCGCCACAATATTGAATATTACCCGCCAATATTACTATTAGTATTACCCGTATCTACCACAACCAATGTGATAATAAAGCTTTACTGCCCGGAAAGACCTACAAATTAGCATTTACTTATATAATAAGGCGTAATAATAGACGTAATAATAGGCGTAAGCTGTCGTACATCAGGTCATGTTATCCTGATCCGAGGCATCTGTACGTTGATACTTGATAGATGGGTGCGCCCAGTAATAATATGGTGCTTGTAATTGGTGTGCACCAGACTTTTATTTGGTAGTGTCCCCACTTGTGACTGTTTAGGGTACTGACACTGTTGTCATGGGGTTTTTGTCCCTTTATTTGCTTTATCATTATGTTGTACTTACATATTACATGAGGCTAATAAAACATGAATTCGATTGTTTAGGGCTCGGGTTAGGGTTGTGGTAAGTAAGGGTTATGGATAGCTTCGGGGAATTATGGTTAGGGGGGGGGGGGGGGGGGGGGGGCAATGACTACCAATGGAGACTTTTGGGGACTAAAAATCATGGGGACTAGAGGTCAACTCGTTGACGTAATTCACCATTTGTCCCCATAAGTCCCAATACAAGAATTTTTGACATTTATTTATGGTTTTCAAGTTAGTTTAATAACGATACGATCGAGATGTTTTGTCCAAGATAAGAGTAGGATAAATCTGACTTAAAAGTAAAATGATAAGCCCGGTTGTAATGTGTTCTACCACTGTACAAGTCAGTTCAGATTGAGGTAAATTAAAGTTTAGCTCTCGTGAAGGTAGAAGTAGCCGACTCGCTGAACGTACCCTCCTTCGACTTACCCTCCTAATACACTTAAAGATGTTAGATGATGGGTGAATGAGTATTTATAACAGCCGTTCTGTGAACAGACTTTGGTGATCTTTATTTTAAGCACTGGCAAGCACTCTTTTGTGAATATTTCCATAAATGATCGTCAAAAACAAAAGAAACCAACGCCAATTTCAAATTACTGAGCATATCATTTCAGACAAATCAATACAAAAGTAATAAGAAAAATTGATAATGCGTTTATTTTCCTTGCGCTACAACTCGTGTTACTAGATCAATCTGATAAAATAAGCGTATATATGCAATATGTCTCCTCAATGTTGTCATTGGTAGTCGCCCCCGCCCCCTCCCTTAATTTACCTGAGGTACTCTAAGAGCCCTCAAGTAGCTCCCAAGAAGTCAGGAATGTCCAGTGACCATTTATAAATATTAGTCTTGAGAAGTTTACGATCTGGTCTGGAGAAGCCAAATTTTGTGAAATCTAAATGGGGACTAATGGTGACTAAAAATCATGGGGACTCGGGGTCACATAGCTTGTGTCAAAATTACACTAGCGTAATCATTTGGAAACCCCTCCTCCCCCCTCGGCTGATTACGTAATAAGTGAACGACCCCATATAATATTGGTATTTGAACGAAATAAAACACAAAATTATAATGTTATCAAATAAGACGGTTATTTATATACACAACTACAACGTCGGGTTCTAAGATTCTTTCCACTTCACTAATCTACATTGAACACACCACACACTATATATGGCTACAATTTATTTAACCCACGTGGACAGGGCTTAAAGATCAAGATTTTTAGCGAAATTTTGGGGCCACGATAATTCAGAAGAGCAAATTTACAAAAAATGTTGGCCATTTATTGTTATCGATTCAGCTTTGTTAATATTGTAGCCCAGCCTCCAATAGAAAAAAAATTGCGGCCAAAGGAATTTGAAGAAAGATCAGCAGCCCCCAAATTTGACCAAAATTTTGGCCTGATCTGCAATTGACAGGATTGTTGGCTGTGGTTAGAAAAATTTGATCCACGTTTTAAGCCGTAGAATTGGAAACCTCTTTATTAAGACATATCCGATATCGCTAGTTATATATTTGCCTTTTATAAATGAACGTTAAGGTTATCAAACAAGATGATAGATTGTTGAATTTCAGAATTTTGTGTGACGTTTCAACCATAAATTATACCCGACAGTACATCATAGTTGCTTAAACTATAAAAGTATGAATAGTATGTACCTTTTCGTGATTGGTTGAAATTTAATGCGATAAAATATGTCAATTACCTTCAAACTCAAATATACATTTAACATAGAAAAAAGGTATCGAATCGTATGTGTGACAGAGAATTTGCTCGGTAACCAAAACAAACGGTCTAATGACTAAATTTAACCAATGAAAGCGCACAAGCTGCATAACTAGCAAAACGTGACTGACAAATCAGATGAACTAGGCTTGCTGCCCTGTGATTTGAATATCGTTCGTAATAAATCAAAAATATTCTTTTTATCGTTTTTGTTTTAAGAACTAAGTGACCAGTGTAACAAGGCGGCGACTAATCCGGTTGAACTGAGGGCGGTCTACATTCCATAGAAGTACGGCCGAAATCATACGGTAAACAACAATTTACTAGAACTGTAAATGAAGATCTAGTAGAATCGAAGAAAATATGTACGGATAGCCTTCTAGGTAAGGACCGTACGTCTGGTTCTTTTAACCCTTTGACGGCCGCTTCTCAGTTAAACCAGCCCGGTAACCACCATGTTACAGTTATGCAGCTGTACATAACAGAGAACTACAACCTAAAAGTAAATCCACAAAAAAGAGAGAAGATAAAGTCCCTCAGTTTTGTGTCTTTACCTCTTATCTCACCACTTTTGTGTGTACAACAATATCCGGCGGGGGTGAATGGGGGTGAGGGTGAGCGGTAACAAAACATAAGGGGTCGTTCACATATTACGTAATCATTTTTTGGAACATTTTTACCCCCCCCCCCCCCACCCCCTCCGTAATCAGTTTTACACATAGCTATTGTGAAAACCCCCCCCCCCCCCCTCAGCTGATTACGTGATATGTGAACGACCCCTAGGATATCGAGAAACAATATCGGCGTGAAATGTGTGCGGTTTGAACAAACAAAATAACCGATTACGTGACAGATTGAAGATGAACAGAATGTTATACAGATGCTTTGGGACTAGAGCTCCAGGATATCAATCAAGGTATGGTTCTTTTTAAAGGCAAAATCATGGATTACAAAGTACATAGCTAATCTTATATTAGACTACTTGTTTTGTCCCCACTGACCAGCAACCCTCCTAATTGTTAGAGACAACAACTTTAATCTTATCCACCATCGCACTTTCAAGCAATATCAACATTCAACACTTGTGCGTTCTTCAAATTCTTAACATCACCTCATAATGTTGGGATCACTGGGGACGGAACTATATGAACTGTGACTATGACTATTACTGCTAACATAATGGTAGAAAAATCAAATCACGACATGCTACCAAGTGGTAGCACGCGGGGAACTTTACAATAAATATATCTTTCTTTAAACAAACTAACCCTGCAACGGCGCGCGAATTAACATCGAACTTTGGCAGCGCCCTATCATATATTGAGAAAATTATACGGATATCAAAGTCCCACATAGTATCATATCTTTATTATATGTTGAATTTTACCGTGAAAACAATCACTTGAATCACATATAGTTATGGGTGCTGTTTCATTTACGACAACAACAGTGCCATACAGAAATACGCTAACACAGTCAAATACCGGCCAAAAAAAGGGATGTATCCAGGTCTTAACATTGCACGTGCAATCAAGACGACCTTAGGAATCCTTACTTTAGGATAAAATGTTGGGATCTCGCGGTATGTTCGGAATTTGACTTTGTTAGCTGCTACTTCCGGTAAAACTTAAACCAAATGAACCTTTCAAACAAAACACAAATAACCACTAGTACGTCTACGAATCGTATTAAACAGCAACCGTGTGCACTTTCTAAACTGAGAAGTGAACCAAACAGTTCTGCGCAATACTAATTTGAGTTTTATCAATCCTCGTTAAATATCTTCTAGAAACTAAGCTACTCGGAAATGACAACATTTTATGTGGAGCGATTGAAGTTTTTCAACGAAAATTATAGCATGCCCACACGAAACACACTCAAAAATTATTTACTCAACTTTTGAGTTAAGTAAATATAAAGTTAAGTAAATATAACCCCTCAGTCTCATGCACAAAATGAACCATCATTAAACCGACCTGAACTCGTCAAAATTTAACGAAGATTGTGAAATTAATGTACTTATGTGCGAATACCCCTTGTTATAAATGCTCATGTCATCATTTCCTTGGAATCAAACCATTGTTAGCGCACTACAATTCAAAGTAAAAATTAAACCCTGAGCGTGATTAAGATTTTCGTGTGAATTAAAAACAAATTTTGAAAATTATAAAATCAACGATAAATATAATAACCCGACACCAAGAAGTTTTTTATACTAATTAATCAATACGTCCAATACATAATTTTGTAACATATATTATATTATTATGCATATTTATATATTTGACACGACATACACACAACATAGATTATCATATATAGTATTTATAATTATATAATATATAATATATATATATATATATAATAGTATAAGCTACCCCGTCAAGATACATGTAATAACTTTGTACAATAAACCAAAACATTATTATATCAAATATAGACCGCACCCTAAAGGCTAAATGCTACCATTCACTACACATACATGTTCGTTAAGCTAGAATGATCAATGTACATAGTACTGATGATACACCACAGTAAAATATCATGGCAAGATAGTTAATATACTGTACAACGATATAGTGTAGCCCTCTTTATCAGAACACTGCGCTCAGTGCCTAGCAACCACTGCAACTGTTGGTTACTATCGTCATTTTAACCGTGGTGCTAAGCACTTTCGCACTTTCGGGACGCAATAAATACCCAGTCCACTTAAATTCAACCCCTGATTATTTCTTCAGTTATAAGATGGCCACATCCGAGATAGGAATGCTATTTACCTGTCCAGGAACAGTTCAACGTAGCGCGGTCCAATGTGCTTGCGGTCCTTCTCCACGACGGCGCGCTGTGCATCTTCAAGCGATGTGAAGTTGACATACGCTTCGCCAGTCGGTTTCATGTCGTCGTTGTAGCAGATAAAGATATCGTTCTCAGTGAGATTGAAGCCGCTGAAGAAGTTTAATATCTCAAACTTGTCCGTGTTGTAAGGTATACCCCGCATTTTAACGACACTCCTGCTCTGTGTAGCACTGGTCAGACCGTCCGACCAGGATGTTGACCGCTGCTCGTCAGCTGAGTTACCAGTTAGGAACGAGTCCGAGTTGAAGAAGTTGGGCAGCGCCGAGAAGAGGTTGTCCGCTATTTGCTCGGAGGTCAGCGAGGTCGGGTTGTTGTCTTGTACACTGACCTGGGACAGGGACCTGATGAAGTCGAGATGCAGATCGTTGATTGGGCTGCTCTGAGTCGATGCGACGTGGGGAGACAGTAGTGCACTGCTTATCGGATCAACTTTTACCTTGCTTGGACTGCAATAGTTTGCAGAGCTACTGGAGTTGTCCGGGCTGAAGGTCGACATTCGAGGCCACGACTGCTGGGTCTTCAGCAAGTTTTGAGCAGCTTGGTCGAGAGCGTATGCACTGTTGGTTAAATCGTTTTGTTGTTCCCACGAGAGACTAGGGCCAGGGGGGAGAACAACAGGAGAGAAGGAGCTAGGACTCGAGGGGAACATAGTGTTCGGTGAAAGCAGCTCAGGGTGAGCCCCGGCACCTGAACTTCCGTTCATGGGCATGGCTGTGGATGGGGACCAGGGGTTTTGTGGCAAGTTAAACCGGAACGGACCGACTGCGTTTATCATCTCAATACGGGGACATCTAAACACCTCGATATACCTATTACCCATGTGGTGCTTGTGTTTCTCCGTGGCTTTGATGGCATCCTCCACACTCCCAAAGTGAACGTAACCATTTCCGGTTGGGCGACCGGAGCCGTCGTAAATAAAGTGGATTCCACCTTCACCGAGAGTTAAACCTGCAAAGAACTCCAGTACTTGGGTCCTGGACGCAGAATAAGGTAACCCGCGGAGCTGAACACAGTCCATTATCGTACTCGGCAGTGGAGTCGCTGAGAGGTAATTAACTTTAAAACACAATTTAAATTTGTTTACAAGGGACAGTATAATTGGGACCTCAAATGTGGTATTGTATTACGGAAATCTCTTGGAACGTTAGAAGTCCTCAATTGAATGTCAAATCAACCAACCGGAATCATGTTGTTTTTTGGCCGCAAGTTGAGCTTTAAGCCACGTTTCATCAACACGTTCCGGCATCCACAGGGCAGGCAGAATAGGGGAGGTAGGGTTGGAAGAGAAGGGCTGCGGTAAACCTGCAACAATTAGCATTGTGAGTGTGACCATGTAAAATATCCAGAAAAATATGAAATTTTGATTAAAGACATGAACTTCTGATTAAAATCAGGCAACACTTCAGTTCCAGTTTACATCATTGCAAAGGATTCGTTTGTTATCTTATCAAAAGTACTATTCTTTCATTCAGTATCGAATTACGTCGCCTGGAAAATGGAAATTTATCAACATGTGCGGCGCGGTTCACATTCCAATCCTGGGAAGTTACGCCTAAAAAGCTAATAAAAAGTAAACAGAAACATTGAACGCGCGCCCTCTCTGGCCAATGTCCAAACATTATGGCACAGAAAAGCGTTTCCTCAACGTTGTCTGTAAAAGAAAACAAGGCCGCGCGCGGCGCTCAAGTACCATTATGGACAAAATTTGTCCCTTTCCCGCCATTCAAACAGTCATAATTGAATTTTAAGGTTTAATGAGCGAAAACGGCGGCTTGCTTTGCCTTTAACGTAAAGAGACTTGGACGGATTTACAGAGATAGTGGTTGAAATCCCAGAGTTTACTGAATTATCCACAGCTAATTTATTAACTGAGTTTCAAGTAACTGGTAGCCAGCTAATGGCTTGACATGTCAAAGTTAAATACCCAATTGACGTCAATGACTAAGGAACATTACATCCCCAGGCTACTATGACAATCCTTAATTATATATGGGTCATTTGTCCATAGTATTCTGCACGCAGTTTTGGCAGATAGTGGGTCAATGTGGAGGATTCCTTGTCAGAATGTACGATCCCAGCCTCGGATAATTAAACCTTTTAGATTCTCCAGATGGTAATTTCCCTAAAAACTTGCCTGACTCTTTAACCACATTGTAGAAATGGGGATCAAACAAAGAGAAATGGACACACAGATTCTGCCTCAAAAGTTGAGTCGCCCTTCAACTAGGCGACGAAATGTCACCCTGTTTAAAAGGGCAGAGTTACATTCTATGTCAGGGTTGGGTCTAAAGCACGGGGTGTGCTGGTTAGATTCATATTAGGAGAATGTAGAATGTAGTTGATTTCTTAGTACCATACAAAAGTCAACTGCGGTGGAACATGTCATCGATATAGAAGAAAACTTGTCATTTCAGGGGTCCGGGGACATAATTGAGCGGGATCAGTTTGTGATCAGGAATATAAATGTTAATTTCATTGAAACTTTAACGAGTAGAAAAACGATAGTTCAAATTTTATCATATCCGATTCGATGATTATTACTAATTATTGGTAGAGGTAATATTAGTCACATAAACCGGCGGTATTTATTAGGAAATTAGAAAACTAGATTTGCAATATGTCTCTGATGTTACCTTAACTGCACAAGGAATAATTTTCGTCCGAAAGTTAGTTTCTCTCCTAATATGGCAGTATCGACTATCGGGCCGATAGTTTCTGAATCCGGCGTATTGCAGTAAAATAAAATAATGTAGCAAAAAGCAATCATGAGATTTAATGAGGCAAAGCATGCTATTATTTTTGAATAATATGCAGACGGCATACATAATTCTTAGAGGGCTAATATTTGACACTTAAAGCAATGCATCATAAAATTTCATGTTCTAAAAACTTCAAAGATGCCCCGAATACTTTACTTAATTTCAGACGCTGAACTCTCTTCAGCATCTTCACTATCTTCAACATGACAAGCATTCTCCAAAGTTCCAAGCAACTGTAAGAATGTAGTATATCTCATTTGTACGCCTCTGTAGAGCTCAACAATTTGTAGTATATTGCATACCAAGCAATATATTCGCGTGTGCTCAACATATTACAGATTGTTATATATGACAATGTTAAAGTGTGTAATATAGTACTAGTGGTGTTGCGTGTGTGTTATATAGTAACCACTTGAAGTATCATGGAGCAGGTAAATATATTGCCCTCTCCTCCTTTCCCTCTCTCTCTCTTCTCTCTCTCTCTCTCTCTCTTCTCTCTCTCTCTCTCTCTCTCTCTCTCTCTCTCTCTCTCTCTCTCTCTCTCTCTCTCTCTCTCTCTCTCTCTCTCTCTCTCTCTCTCTCTCTCTCTCTCTCTCTCTCTCTCTCTCTCTCTCTCTCTCTCTCTCTCTCTCTCTCTCTCTCTCTCTCTCTCTCTCCCTCTCTCTCTCTATCTCTCTCTCTCTCTCTCTCTCTCTCTCTCTCTCTCTCTCTCTCTCTCTCTCTCTCTCTCTCTCTCTCTCTCTCTCTCTCTCTCTCTCTCTCTCTCTCTCTCTCTCTCTCTCTCTCTCTCTCTCTCTCGCTATCTCTCTCTATATCTCTCTCTCTATATATCTCTCTCTCTCTCTCCCTCCCCCTCTCTCTCTCTCTCTCTCTCTCTCTCTCTCTCTCTCTCTCTCTCTCTCTCTCTCTCTCTCTCTCTCTCTCTCTCTCTCTCTCTCTCTCTCTCTCTCTCTCTCTCTCTCTCTCTCTCTCTCTCTCTCTCTCTCTCTCTCTCTCTCTCTCTCTCTCTCTCTCTCTCTCTCTCTCTCTCTCTCTCTCTCTCTCTCTCTCTCTCTCTCTCTCTCTCTCTCTCTCTCTCTCTCTCTCTCTCTCTCTCTCTCTCTCTCTCTCTCTCTCTCTCTCTTCTCTCTCTCTCTTCTCTCTCTCTCCCGCTCTATAAATTATAGCAGTGTGTACAATCATGCACAGTGTACATTGAGTTATTAACTTGTAATTAGTGTCCACGTGACACAACAAATCAACTAATCCCGTCTCGGTACACAAACCAACCACCAATCAGACAGCGGGAAGCCGATCATGTGACCGACACTAGCCAATGGAAACCTCCAGAAAATACCCCAACAGTTTGAGGAAATTAACTTATGTAGTTCCTGCAACGTCTGCCAGCTATCATTAACCAATCAGAAGGCTGGATTCCTCGTAACAAGCCAATCAGGAGAGCGGGTTCAGCCACGTGACAAGAGTTCAGGGAAGAGACGAAATTACAGTAAAGCTGTACAAAAGCCATTTTCCGTCTGGGGCTGTATCCGGAGCAGTAGGGTGGAGCGGGGCTGAGCGGGGCTGAGCTGGGCCGAGTAGCACTGAGGGGTTCACTACGTACAAGTAGCCACTATTCGGCACAGTTTCATGGTTCTTTAAGCATAACAGTGGTTGAAATGATAAAATTACTCGTGACGCTTATATACCTTCATAATAGTAATAATATGCAATGTAGACACATGTATAGAGACATATTAGTGCAGTAAGTAGAGCGTGCTATCTTGTGAGTCCTAACTTACTATCGTACTTTAAACCGGGTGAACAGCGTGTCTGTTACGCGGCCTGGTTACAAAATTACAGAAAACCAGTAATTCGTTGAGGTCTAACTTTTAGCTCAGTATAAAGCTTTTAAATAGTGTAAAGAGGAGTTTCCTTCAGGTTCGATTTCATCGCCTGATACAGAGTAACAGAGATGTGGAGTTCTGTGGAAAACATTATGGGATCACGTGATCATATAGGTCATGTGAGCCATGGCTCGTTGCTATGTGAGCCATGGCTCGTTGCTATGTGATCACATGGCTCGTTGCTATGTACTCGTTGCTATGTACGGCAGATGAGCTTGCAGAAGACTGTGCACATCTGGAATATTTAGCGTTTTCTTTGTGGATCTGATCGTGTAGTTATAATAGCGAACATAATATGTTACAAACTATCTATTTATAATAAACAATAAGTCGTTTTGTTTGTTTCACATTAAAGAATGTGGAGCTACAGGAAACCGTATAGATGTACAGTATGGATAGCTAGGTAATGCTAATGTCATTGAACATTGTATTGAACATCCTGATATTAGCTTCTCCAACATAGAAACCCGCTTCTCAGAGATTTTAGACAATTAAGTATCTCCAAAAAATGTGAAAGAAAGAGTTTGTAAAAGTGCCAGTCTTCTTTTTCATTACATTAAAAATGACATACAATATCATGTTCCTAACAGAGACTGGAGGCGCAAGATAATTTCTCAGAAAATGTAATCTCAGAAAATGTAATCTACAGGGGCCACATAATATTATGATAAGGTGCAGCACTGCTGCATGCACTGTGCACTGTGTAGTGTGTACAACAGCTCGCTAATGTTCATTGTAATATTACTTCTCCTCAAAATGCT